GATGATATAAACAATATAATGTAGAAAAGATATATCTTTTAGAATTGAGAAATGTCTTTTCTCAGAGCGGGGGATTGTCCTTGCTTTATACGCCTCCATTCTTTTTTTCTAAAGGAGGTTATTAGTTTTCAAATTAATTCACCAACTCTATGTTCATATTTCATGAAAACAAATCTTTTCTGGGTAATTCAGAATAATAATTGCTTACAATGGACACCTCATAACTTGCTGATTTATTTCTGGTAATGCTTTAAATTTTTAATATGCTGGGTACGCATTGCAAAACGTCCAACTTAAGATTGAAAGTTTCAGTACGAACATCATTATGCAGTGAGCTGTATTATTTGTATTGTAAGGGGCTATCATGTCTTCTCTTAAGTCCAACCCTGAGACCTTACCTCAGTCAGGCTATTTTATACAGATCATTGAGAGTTTGTACTAATGAGAGTAAATTTATATCTAGTACTGAATTAGATATCAGCTTATATAGTAGAGAAATATGTTCAGACAATGAATTTCGAGTTTACAAGGACCATCTAAAGACAATAATAACTAGACGGCTGACAGTTAGTTACAATAAAATTTTTGACATCAACTGAGTTACGGAAAGTTGCATTCATGAATCAGTGCAGAATTTATCCAAATAGATATCGTAGTAAGATTCAATACACAGCTGACAAAATATCTTATACTTTACTAAAAATGTCATGTACGTTTGGTTGTGTATCTTGCTATGTACTTGTACAAAGATTGTAAATATGTACGTTCACTCAGTTGTTTAGAGAAATTCCAGGAGAAAATGTCACCCGAATATATAATGTATCTTAATAATGTTAATGTTGATATGTACAGACAGTGGCTGGTATGTCTTTAGGCAAAAAATGAAGAAAGCTGTGATAAAAGATTTTATGTTCGACAATGATTTCATCTCGTTTCTGAATTGATTATAGAGCATTGGAGCAGACAGAAGCAAGGTATGTCTGTATTATTCATCCCTCCTCTAGTGATGCTACACATGTTGTTTATTCTGAATCACCACAGACTGGGTGACACAGTGACGTCACAACAATCTCTACAGGATCTACACACTCTGCTGCTCTATGATGACGGGATCAATGTACCAGTCATTCAAAAAGATATTTCCTGGCAAATGTTGGGTATCTGTCAACAAATCTGTGGGGACTACGTGGGATCATTGCAGTCATATCAATGTTCATTACAACAAAAACCATTTCATAGAATTCAAGAGGCGACACTGCTAAGAATTCTCTTCCTCTTGGATTGATGTGATGTACAATAAAACATGGGCACAAATTGATAATTAGGATTAATATAACCATATCTAACGCAAGACATGAATAGAAAAAAAAATGTTAAACATAAAATTTTGGAATTGCATTTTACAATGTTTAACTTTCATGTTAAATGAATTTTACGATACCGTGGATCTTGTGAGAGTAAATTGTTTTCCCCTTTTTTTGTAGTGTAATGCAACATACATGTATGACATTTCCTTGCTTCACCAAATACATGTCAGAATATAAAATACCATTATAAAAACGGTCAAATGAAAAGTATTTTAAGTATTTTAAATGTGTTCATAATAGAATGTTTAAATAGTACAGCGATAGGGCCTAAAAATATCGATTAATTCAATTTAATCTTGTTTTCCCTTTCCACTTACACAAATTAATGTACATGTATTTCATGTTTTCTACCTGTATCTATTGACGTGTTCGTGAAGAAAAAATAAAACGCTTGCGACTCACTTGGACTCGTATAAGATTTAGATAAAACAATGGAAAAGTAATTGCAAAATTTCAATGCATAGACTATTGTAATCATGAACAGATATTCTATTCAATATTCCATTTAGAATAACAAATGCGTCGGTTATTGTACAACCCATCATGTATTTCTTTAAACAAATAAGGCTTAATATTAGAAATGTAAGTTTTCATATTTGTCATCTTCGGAAACTTAAATCAATACTCTTACCTGATCCTGATTTGAATTAAGAGAGTCGATGTCGCTCTTTGAAGAGAGAAATATCTGTGCACTTAGTTGTTTTGAATATATTCTATTGACAACATGTCAAATAGATTGGTAACAAGTTCCAAAAATTTATAAAATCCTCTCCCATTTTGTTGTTAGAAGTACAATTATATAGTAAAGTGTATCTTAAAACACTTACATAGTACAGTTTATCTTAACACAAGACCGTTCCGCCACACATAGAAGTTAACAAAGAGAATAATCTATTGCTGAAATATTAGAGTATGATTGACAGGCAGTTAATTTTCACATATGTTCACTTGAAAAATAATGATAAATATTTGTATTACATACCGCTGGTACAAAATTTAAAATTAAAACTGCTAAATGAATGATGAAATATGTCATACAAAAATATTCTTTGACTACTTAAAACTCAAAACACCAGAATTCTGATGCAAGAATGAAACAGTAAGAAATGCTTTTAGAATACATCCGGGTACATTAAATAACTATTGCTCAGAATTGGTCAAAACACATGGAATATTTAAAACCACGACTTTTTTATTGCAATTTCTGGAAAAAAGGCTGCCAGGAATGGAAACTCTTTGTCATTAAAAGCTAAGTAAGTCCTACCCGATTGCATATTTATGTGATGTATCTGTAATAAATTCAAGGTGTGAAATCTTCTTTAATATAGATTCTTTGAGAATAGACGCCTTTGAATATGTATCAAACAAACTTCAATAAGAGGACATTATCAATAGGTATATTGATATAATTAATTTAATTATCATACTAAAATTTAGAAGATAAATCATATTCACGGTGGTAATTGTTGTTGTTTTTTTCAAAAGAAATAAGTCAAATTTAGACCGAAAGTAGAAATCTAAAATATATATACATATTTAAAAAATTAGTCATTAAAAAAAATCCCTATTTATTTTTAGACACAGTTTGCAATTTTGTGACATACGCTGTACATCTTATCTAAAGTTAATAAGATTTCTCACAAATAAAAGAATTAAGATAGGAACATGGCCTATCATTCCACTTGGCAGTTTTCAGCAGATCAATACAGTCTCTGGTGTAAGCTGCTGATGGTTTACTGAGGCTTGGTTCGTTGGGAGACCAATAGGTAAAGATCATAGTCACATTGGAGTTATTCCAGCGATATTGACCTTCAACTTCAAGGTCATTTCCGCCTGTCCAGGCAGTACAGTCAGCAAATATGTCGGTAGGACAGTTGTCTACAACGATCATGTTATAACAAGGAATAAATTTAATAAAACACGGATAAAGTGACATACGCTACTAATAATTAGCCAATTACAGCGGAGTGAGGTCAGTCCCTGTGACTTTATATATGCATAGTACCAAAGAAATAAAAACAAATGTTATAGTTGTATGCGTCAATTATTCCAAATTTTGGTCGAGCGCCGACAAGCCATATCGGCCTTCATATAAATCGTCCTACTACTGTTATTATGAAAGATATATATTTAAGAATTCAGAATTTAAAAGAACATTGAATGTATTATGTCTATGCAAAATTTGGTTAGTATTGGTTGCGTGTTGAAAAAGTTATTAACATTGTCTACGACTTTTTGGACAACCCTCGTATATTGTAAAGATCCTTTGATTGATTGATTGATTGATTGATTGTATGCTGTTTAACGTCCCTCTCCAGAATATTTCACTGAAATGGAGACGTCACCATTGCCGGTTAAGAGCTGCAAATTTAGGCCTATGCTCGGCACTCAGGGCCTTTGAGCAGGGAGGGATCTTTATCGTGCCACACCTGCTGTGACACGGGGCCTCGGTTTATACGGTCTCATCCGAAGGACCACCCCATTTAGTCGCCTTTTACGACAAGCAAGGGGGTACTGAGGACCTATTCTAACCCGGATCCCCACGGGGCTTTGAATGATAAAACGTATAACAATATATGCTAAGAACGAAGCAAAATTATCACTCCATGGCACTTTGATATTTTCGTCTTCCAGTGTTCATGTAAACAAGTCCATAAAAACGGAGTGGGATGGGGTGACAAACATCTTATTACTTAAAATAAATAAAAATTGAGACCTAAGACGAGCAACAAAATACCAGTCTAGCAATGCTTAAACTTTTTACAAACTTAACAATATAACCACTTTGTTAAAAATATTTTTAAGTATAAATAATAATTAATTCTAAGATACAGTTGGCTTGTGTTAACCTATTCTATACGAAAACTTAGATTAAATTGTTACTTCACATGATAGCTGTTGCGCTAAATTTATATCAAAATGTCATGGAATAGAATCATCTTAAGAGGGCTGGACAGTTGTGGCCATTTTCAGACCATTTTGGTCTTAAGATGAAGGGCTTCATAAAAAGACATACAACAATGATTAAATAATAGCGAGCGCAGCAAGGCGGCGCGAAGCACCGCTCGCGTTTATCTCACCGCGTGAAAAAATTCCAAATTCCCAGTAATCCTTTGCGGTGCATAGCAACATAGTGGCTAAAACATAGCAACAACGTTCTTGAAAAAAAAATTACAAACAACGATTTAATGTAATCTCCATGCCACAAAACTATCGTTTGCGTTTAGAGTCAACAGGACTTTTTATTTGACGTCAAAGTCACGGCTCGGATATTTCCGATTTTGTAGGAAACTTCCGAAAAGTTCGGAATCTCGATCCCGATGCCTGGGAAGTGATTTCTTTTAATTCTTTTCTTCTTTTTTGATGAACTGAGGAAAGGTGGTGCATGTAAAAGCTTTGTAAAGGTTTTTGATAGTAAATACTTGCGCTCGCCCAACGGTCGCACCGTAGAACTTATTAAAATCTATTCAGCCTAAAATGTGCCGCTAAAAAGCCACTATCCCGTCAGTAAAATAATTATTCCAGACATTCGTATGAAACATTACCCGATATTTGGAATTTTATGCATACGTACCTACCGAGATTTTTCGTAATATCACAAATGACAAAATGTCCATCAAGACAAATATTATGTTAAGAAGTATCCAGCTCATTGCTCATTATCGTGTCATGAATGACATAGGAAAGGGCGTTAGGAAGACGTGTATGGCCAACTGTCTTCGAAAAGAAAATAATCGATGATAATTGTGCTGAAGTTGAAAAAATTGATACACTTCTCTGTAGATTTATTTATTTACTGTTAACCAACTTTTATTCGCGTGCGAGAAATATCAGAGAGTTCCTTTAACTCGCGATTATTAATCGCCGTGAAACATTCATTTTGCTTACGATTTGTAGATTGATTGATTGATTGATTGTATACTTTTTAGCGTCCCTCTCCAGAATATTTCACTGATATGGAGACGTCACCATTGCCGGTGAAGGGCTGCAAATTTAGGCCTATGCTCGGCACTTATGGCCTTCGAGCAGGGAGGGGTCTTTATCGTGCCACACCTGCTGTGACACGGGGCCTCGGTTTATACGGTCTCATCCGAAGGACCGCCCCATTTAGTCGCCTTTTACGACAAGCAAGGGGGTACTGAGGACCTATTCTAACCCGGAACCCCACGGGGTAACGATTTGTAGAGAATGTTCCTCACGATTTGTAGAGAATGTTTCCTCGGTCGCAGAAATTAATCGTTGCGGAATGATTTTAAACTTACCAATCGCAAATAAAATATGATGCGGATAATAATTGGTTTACAGTATTGAGATTAAATAGAAGAAAAATACCTGAATTGTTATTATTATTCTAAAATATTATCTCGAAAGATTTAAATGTATACACGAGAATGAAATTCATCCATGCAGAAAGAACCACGAACGATAGTATTGTTCTCCCGCCTACCTCTAAGTCAATTCTCAAAAGTTAACATATTCGAATGATTTTCAAAATTTTTATAGATATTTATATGAATTTTAATAAAACATTATTTGTTTGGGATACCAAAGAGAGATAACTCTATAATTTTGGTAAAACTTGAGTTTTTCACTATATAAATCATTATTAAATGATTAGGAATTTTGGTGCTCTCTGATTGGTCTAGACGCCATTTACTGGTGTGTACCTCAGAGTGAGTTCACCTCAAATGACGTTCTGGGAGGTTTATTCGGGTTTTCCCTCTCGACCAACCATAGATTTACTTACAGCTTTTTCGACCAATCAGATTGAGTGTTTCAAAGCATGTGTCGGTGTGAATGTAAACAACCAAGGAGATTACGAACTTTTGAAAGTAAGTGGTTGAGTATTTATTGTTTATTAATATTGTTTTTAACTTTTTAACTAATATTTGTTTAGCTGTTGAAGTATATCAACATGTAAAAAGTGTAATTACACTTTACATTATGGATGTTTATATTTGATGGAGACAAGAATGAAAGAGTCAGCAGTGTTGTAAAATTCCTCATCATTTAATAAAACGGTTATTGACTTTTGAATTCGGTCTACTCGTGACTATACAGACCTGGTCAGGTATTGGTTAACCTCGGCCTTCGGCCTCGGTCAACCAATACCTGACCAGGTCTGTATAGTCACGAGTAGACCTCATCAAAAGTCAATAATTGTATAATGGAAAACGGAAAATATTTTTAAAACATCTTTCTCCAGCGTGAAACAAACATTCCTTTTTACATGTTATATGGACTGTCATTTTACAAATTTATGCCAACGCGTTTTGTGTTTCACGGGGGGGGGGGGACATATGTTTATAGACAAAAACGATAAAATGCTGATTTTTCAACAATTTTAAAGCTATTTACAACTAAATAATTGTATTTTATTAATTTATATATGTTTTATTTATTTGCGTAAAACATATGAAAAGATATGAGATACATTTTGTCATATTTAAAACTATTTCAAAATATGGTGATTCTTTAAAGTTCGATTTCACTAGAAAATATCGTCTACCCCCCTTTTTTCGAGAGCTGAAATTAATGATAATTTACTATCTAGCGCTGGAATTAAAATGATTAATCAATTACCATAGAAGTGTTCTTTGTATTAAACAAAGATTTAATGACCAAATTGCCATTAAAATTGAATATAATGGGTGCAAAATGTAGGCGGGAATCAAGAGTTAGAGTACGTAGTTCTTTATGCGTAGTTCTGCAATAATAAATAAAATTCATTAGTAATCTACAAAACCACTTACTTTTTCGAAGAAACGCCTTAGCGAGCCAGTTTGATTCCTCCATGTTGTCAATGACCACCAGATGAGAGCACATGTCTTCACATTCCGCCTTGTGGAAAAAAAGTTTTTTGTCAAATTCGCTGATGTTTAAAAGCTTTAAACAACGTAGTTTAAAGTCAACATTTACTAACTTCTTGGATTCTTAACGTGATTTAGTTTTGGCAATTTGTTTTATCATCTAGTTGTATTTTGACTAAATTATTATATTTTATAAATTATCAAGGCCTATTTATGTAGGCCTCTCTGATGCCTAGCTGAACCTACTTTCGTTATAGTAACCTACTTTCGTTATAGTAACCTACTTTCGATATATTACTGGTTTTGTGTTTTACTCCCTCTTTACAGAATTCTAACTTTATCTTATTTTATCAATCACTGTTTGTTATCTCCACATATTTCAGTTTAAGAGAATCAACTGGATTCAAATTAAATTGGATTCCGCTGACCCAATAACTTCCTCTACCTTGATGACCGAGCTACCTTGACGGTTCGTATAAAAGGTGAAATCAGTACTGTTTACAAGTGAATTTCATCCCCCGGTTCATTTTCGCAACTTTCGCCCTACATTTGGTTGAGCAAATTTGAAACGGGATTTATTTTTAAAAGATGTAAAATTTCTTAAACAGAACATTAACGGGGCAAATTTATCATGAGGGCAAATATTGTTTGCACGTGTGAATTAGCAAAAAGAAAGTGGAACGAAAAACAGACGTATACAGTACTGCTACATAAAGCTGTATCGAAGATAATTTGACGAATAGAAAAAAAAAAGGAGTCATCTCCGTCGACATAAGTTGACAGTCGGTTAGTCTTTAAAATTTTAAAGAATGAGATATGGCAAATTATTTTATTTACGGTTTTTTTTTTTTGGTTAACATATGTACATGAAAATAGGAAATGTTACTTTTTTAATAAGATATACCAATTTTATAATTTAAAAAAAGACCGTCTAAAAAGATCACAACTTGTACTGTGGCGAATTTATACAGGCATTGGGCAGGGGTTTTCTAACACCTTATATAAATGTTTTAGCTGAAAAATCATCATCATTCGAATATACAAATCAGAAGTAAATGTCATATATTTATTTAGAAACAGAAATACTTCTTTTACCGTATACATATATAATTTGAAATTTGATATATTTTGTTGATATATATGACAATATTTCCTACTATGTACGGGAAATCATTTTAGGCAATTGAAAATTAGGGGTAGATGCAAAATATGGAGATAAGGAACAGTATTCAAGATCAAAAGTCCATAAAACAATACAAAACAGGAGCAGAGCAAACACGGTAGACAAATGCATATAGATCTACACTCATCTTTTCTTGTAACATCGTTAAAATGAAATATTATTCTTTACATAAAAGGGTAAATATACAATGCAATATTTCCTATTCCTATTCGGTAAGTTTTTGACCAATCAAATCGTGAGAATAACGACGTATAAAACTTACCTTAGCTTCCGCCCACGTGACCTCCGTCTGACCTTTCAAGTAACAATGGTGGTTGTATTCAGTCCATGGCGGCTTACAGCCTGTTAATGTTATTTTAATTGTTACATATAACACTTCACATTAATCAGTGAGTTCATTTTAATTGTTACTTATAACACTTCTCATTCATCAGTAGAGTAATGAATTTATCATAGATATTCTTAACCTGTAAATTGTATTTAGTATATGGTAAAGCGTTTGAACAAAGAGTTTATACTGTCCGTTATTTGAATATATATCATAGGCAATTTCGCCACATATGATACGCATTTGCATAACTTTTCATATGAGGATCGTATATGTATCATATGTGAATCAAATGTGTTACTTCATATGGTTCACATATAGTGCCCTTTTTATGATTCGCATATGGTACCAATCATATGATTATTACAAGGAGCACACGGTGGGTGTGACTGGTCGGCAGGAGATGCTCACTACTCCATGGCACCTGATCCCACCTCTGATGTTTCGAAGGCTCGTCTTTGCTCTGCTCCTACTTTGCATTGCTTTTATGGATTTTAATATTGAATACTGATCATTATCGCCATATCCCTCTTAAATAAGATTCACATATATGGATCATATGTGTCGAAGTTGCCTGTGTAATTTTGATATTCGGTACAGTTTGTGAGTTTGTTATCGGATTGTCTATTTAATGACCTACAAACGAGGAGATGATTGTATATCAACACTCATATAGTATGGAAACATGTATTTATGTTACCGTTGTCTTATTTAACCTGTTATTTAAACCCATGCTTATTTGAAATGATCATATTATAAAACTATTAATATGCGTTATATGCTCGCATATAAAATTATAGTTCTGTTATTCGCTTTTTAATCGCTAGATCTTAATTTTTTTGCCTAATTTTGCGAGATTATCTGCTTTTATTCTTGCATATATTTATAATAGAAGGTGTTTTTTTTTTTACCCCCAAAAACACATATGTCACAAACGTTTTCTTTCATTAACTTTCAGATTTCATCAATTGTAGGGAAAGAATTTATCTTTATATGGTTGACTCATCAAAAAGTAATACATTGTACCTATAATGAAAACAAATTAATACCGTTTAGTTGCTCTTAAACTCAATTTAAATTAATATGTGAACCTACATTGAATTTCAATTGAAGAGGTGTAATTTTTCACTATTTCATAAATATCTTTAAGCAATATGAGCTGCAACTTTGATGTTGGGATTTATTGTTGCAAAATTGCAAATACTTATTCGAATGGCAGAAAAAATAATGTTTATAAACTTCTGTTGTTCATATTTGCCATGTATATGTAAAAGGTATTTATGAGCTTTGATTGAATCAAAATTGCATTATTGTCGTCTTGTCAATAATGATTCCTTATATAATGCTGTATATTCGATTGCAAAGAAGTTTTTCTTCAGAAAAAAATTTAATGCTTTATTTTAGTCTAATTGACCAAACAGGATTAAATTACATACAAATTTATCATAATAACACATTTTAATCACAAAATAAAATCTTCCAAAATGCAGCTCATATTGCTTTAATTATTACACCATTATCAAATTCTTCATCTGCTGTTAATCTTTAATAAAAAAAAAAATCAAAAAAAAAATATCAAAGTGATATTATCATTTTCTCTAAGCGAAAATTGTTTTGATTATTTTTCTAAAAAGATACCTTTTGTAAAATTAATTTAATTTATTTATGAAAAAACATTAAAATTATGAGAAAATATTTTTATAAATGACATATTGATCATGATGTTAACAGCCTGTCTTAAAATAGTATATTTGATAAGTTCTGTTGTAAATATAAAGGCGTTGTCAATTAATGAAAAGTTTTATTAAGTCAAATGCTACCAGGCGATCTCTGTACAATTTTAAGAAGGATATGGAGAAAACGAACAATATTGAATCTCAAAGTCCATAATACACAATTAGAGCAGAGCAAACACGGACCTCCGAAACATCAGATGTGGAATCAGGTGCCATGGAGGAATTCAGCATCCCCTGCTGACTGGTAACACCCGCCGTGTGCTCCTTGTCATGGTCAGGAAATAATGGAAAAATCCATCGTCAATTTAGTGTATAAATAATAATGGACTAATAATTGGTATGAAAAACATCAGTCAGCATTTGACTCATTATGTACACAGAATATATAAATAATATGCTTACTTACTTTTACGGAAGTGAACAAAGTCTAAACCTGTCTGTGGAGTTTGGTCGGTGTAGGAGTTGTCTTCCCTTTCTGAGAAAAATAATTGTAGACATTGCCTGTTCAATGAATTGTAAAGAAATTCCACACAAAACTGGTTTTCTGTACATAAAACACAACACCTAAAGAGGTTTTTAGCTTCAGAGAGAGAATAGGTTCGGGAGGAATTTGATTTTCCGTAAACTGTAAGATAATGCACAAATCTTTTCTCGCATCCACCTTCAACAAAATTTATAATGAGAGTTAGAAAATACACTTTTGAAAAGTACTCCATGAATATTAAATTACTAAATGGTTTCTGAATCTTACACATATGTATTATCCGCATGGAAATTAATAAAGACAGAATCTGTTTTGATGCGTATAAATGAAGAGTGTACTTTATCGAAGTACTGATAAATTAAAGTTGACATTTTTCAAATGGTCGGTGGTCTTTAATGCATTTTCCGTAGGAAAATGTTTGGATTGAAATATCTTATGATATACTCAAACAATTCCTACTTTACCCCATTAATATTTTGGGAAAATCAATTAACCTCCGTATGCTTCCACGTCACTCCATTAAACTTCTGATGTTTTATTGGTCAGTATTTGCTCCACTACTAAATCTGTATTGTTTATAGACTTACGACTTTTCAACTTTATGCACAACCACTCCCCACGATCAATTAACACCCAGGCAATTTTATATCTGTTTTTTCAATAAAAATAAAGATTCACTTACCTTGTCTTTAGTCATTTGTTAAATTGTTTTGCTAAAAAGAAATCTTATTATAAATACAAGTATTCTGAAGTTGACAAAAAAGATGCGTAAATTCTGGAAACCAGTATCTATAGAATATATTTCTGGAGACGTGGTCGTCCAACAATTTATTGGAACCACAGGTACCAATTGCGTCTCTGTTATTAGCAGATTTTTTTTTGTATTTATATGAAGCAGAATTTGTCCAAAATCTTTTTTTTTTAAGAAAAAAAACTTGCTGTGGCCTTCATCTCGACTCTATCAACGAAGGTATTGTTAATCAACAATGACAATTTCCATTCTTCTCTCGATACGATATATCCTGGTGAGCTTGAATAAAAGATACCACAGAGTCTGACACATCTGTTTCATACTTGGATATTTTACTAGAAAAAGATGTTAATTGTAACCTAACCGCTAACTTCTATGGTAAACGTGATAATTTTAACTTTTCTATCGTTAATTTCCCTTACTTATGCAGCAATATACCTTTATCACCTGCATACAAAGTTTATATATCTCAATTGATTCGATACACAAGAACATGCTCTACGTATAATCAATTTCTAAAACGCGATAAATTATTGACAAACAACTTGATAAATTAAGACTATCAGCAGTCTCGTAAAATGTCATCATTTTGTAAGTTCAATGGTAGATAGAATGACCTTGTCAGAAAATAAAATTATCATTCAATTTGAGTCAAATGCTGATTGACGTTTTTCATACTAATTGGTTAGACCATTTTTATATGATGAATTGACGACGGAATTTCCCGTTTTTATTCCTCCATAGTACCTGATCCCACCTTTGATGTTTTAGAGGTCCGTGTTTATTCTTGTCTTATTTTGTATTGTTTTTGGACTTTTAAATCTTGAATTATGTTCTTAAACTTTATATGCTTCATTAAAACTTATGAGCCTGACTGCCGTTTAAAATCCACCTATTTCACATTAAATTAAGACGTTTTACATTTATGAACTTAAAATGAAAAGCAAAACATAATTTTTGAAAATCAAAATGCTGATTTCATTTACTCTCTAAACAAATCAATATACATTAATAATTCTCTTTAATCATACTACTGTAACATTATAATTAAACCGCCTATATTATCAGAACAAAATGCTATTTTATATAATAGCTTTAGGTAAAAATATGCCTATTTAAAAAATTTATTACAACTTCTGTTGTTTAATAGCTATTTAAGTTTTTCTGCGACCTATTGTAATCTCGCTGGTCTTTTACTTCGAGTTCAAAGAGAATCAGCTTATATTATCTACTCCGGAATAAAAATGAATAATTCTACAGGTGAAATGGTGTCAAAATATCTGAAACTGGACTTAAAGTCTAGAGCAAAAACATTTTACATTGAATTGTTTTGAAAGGAAAAATTATACATATACCTTTAATAAATTTGAAAATAATTTGCTAATAACGCAATATTTTCACTCAAATTAAGATGCAAACGCTTACTGACGAAAAGCTGCAAATTGATGCCACCACCACCTTTACATTATGTATTTGTATATATGAGCATAATGTTAAATTATTTATTTACCACTACTAAACGTATTTCTCGGGGAGGGAAATGCTGGTCAACACGACATTTTTTCCTTCATCTTTTTTTTAATTTTCTTTTTTTATTATTAAGATACTGAGGACGCTCAGTTAAACTCAATATTTACCGAAATTTTACGGATATCAGAATTCACAAACTTGACGAAGAGCTCTGTAAATAATTATACTGAAAACATTTAAAATGACTGTGTGTACATACACCAACATAATAAATCGATGTTTTAGATGAGGGATTTTCCAGAAGTTAAATATATACTTCTTTTTTTTAGATTTAATCATTTAAATATCAATAAGAGTACATAGAGAACAACTAATAATATTACAATCCGAAAGTATAGGAAAGGGGATTAATCATATTAGTTCCCCTTTCCGTAAAAAAAAACAGGTTTGTCTATTTTTTTATCATATTTTATTAATGATTTTAAATGGTAAATATTTGAATTTCCTTGAACCTTTTGAATCTTACATCTTTATCGCTGAGCATTAGTTAATAAAATTATTATGATTCCGCTTTACACATTACTTGTTTATAAACTTTAGTGTTATTCTGAACAAAACAAGTAATGCCCAAATCATTATTATGTTATAAAAGTTAAAAGCTTCCTATAAGCTATTTCGTGTCGTAGGGAAATTTGATGTCAATTAAGAAGCAATTATTGATAGACGCCAATATAGCATGTTTCATCTACCGATTTTTAAATTCATAAATTCTTTCTCGTTGTTTATTTCTACGGTATGCTCTAGTTTTACAAATTATGATACATGTTATAAGTTACATGTAAGAAGAGTCAATGTAAATTACGATTTGAAAAAATGGCCCGATTCAATTCTTTTTTAATCTTCAGGAAACTATTGTTTTAGCAATCTGGAGAACAAATTTGAAAAATTCTTAATTAATGTTAAAATTTTTAGGGGGAAAATTCCAACGACCAACCTGTCACGGTAGTTCAGTGGGTATAGAGTTCTCGTTCTCTGATTAAAGCGTTTGCTCAAATCTCGGCCACGACTGACCCAAGTCGATACAAAGCTTAAGGCTGTAAGTGTTTGGTACTTTGAAGTAACAGTTCCAGTCCTTGGGACCATAAAACATAGATTTAGCTCACTTTTGATTTCTGTCTTACTTTTCCACTATATATTCCTTTGAAATAAGTGAGACTTAGATCCAAAGTAAGGTCAATTAAGATTTATGGCCCCAAGCCAGATCTTTTGAATACGAATTTAAGAACAGGGGTTCTTTGTCACGATTAAGATTTCCTAATGTCCAATGGTCCTGTGTGCCGAGTGAAGGTCTACAATTGTACATGTGAATCCCTTCATTGGTACATGTATATACTGACGTTTCTATATGTAGGAAACATTTGTGAACTTAACGGCCATGTAAAACAACATTCAGTAACTTTTTTAAAGATATAACTCCTTGTTCCCTATTCACCAGCAACCAATAGCAATTAAGAAAATAATTAATCTTAATCAAAACATGTGTTATAAACAGGAAAGCTATACCAATGTTTAAGCCATACTGACTGACCCTAGTAAATGTTTAATTTTATCAGTACATTTGCCTTCACATTTTTTCTTTATTTTTTTTCAAAAATAATTATTTATAGAAAACATTTCCATGTATTTATACTTTTTCTGTTTTCAAATTCATGTATTTTTATAACCACTATAAAGCTCAGTAAATCTTTTTGCAAGAATTAGATGCATTGTTTTAGTCTAGTTGAAGGTTTCATTTAATCCTCGAGATTTTTGTAAATTTTTAACTTGAATCAAATACAAGAATTTTATAACCCTAAAGAGGTTGAAACCTATGTCAATTCGATTTTTTATGGATTTAATACATATATATAATTCGTAACATTTTTTATGAAAAATATATCTTTATCTGGCTGTCTCTTTATAAATCTAAGAGCTATAAAATTTTATACAATTATCTCAAAGTCGATTGGCGCCTTAATTTTTTTCGATAAAATATGACCTGTTTTCTATTTTTCAGATCTTTGCTATTTTAATTTTTTTAAACAATACCTTGGAATGGATCACATATCTTGACTCTCGGAGGTGGTCTATGTAGGACTTTGTCGTGAGATAGGGAGTCCTACAGAAGTGAGGATCAGAAGAGAAGTGATGGACACTATGGAGTTTGTGAATAAACCTCTCTTTATCCTGAGGGGTTATGGCAGAATGAGGAGTGGGAGTACACGTGAGGGATTCAGAATAAAAACCTCAGATGAAGACTTTATGTTATGGAAAACGAACCACAAGGCAATCTGCGATCCCTCTCAGATCAGTCTCTACGTATACCACAACACACTGTGATGCTGATGGAGTGTGATGATCTACCGCAAGGGTTCAGCAGACTTAAATTGATGAGTCCATCATGCTATCCAACAATTATATCCTCACGTGTGCTCATCAGTGGAGAAGTTTACATTTCAAGTACATTATTCCGCAATAATTATTTCCAAGTTTCCAGGTCCAGATCAGCCCAAATGGCTTCTTCTTTCAATCATGGCCCTTGTTCTTCAACTAAAATCCAAAATGAAGAAGCAGATTTTGCTTTTTGTTTATGGTCTAATCACTGGCCAACAATAGCACTGCCATGGATACAAAGATGTCGTCAACAAGGTTGGCCCTCAGAGATTGTTCTTTCAAAAATATTAAACGCAGGATTCCATGTTGTTCCTATCGGTAGTACACCTGAAAATGGAAACGAATGGAGAATCTCATTCTCTATAGCGGAACAGATACTTGTGTATGCAATGAATCACTGTCAGTTTTTGTGTTATGGTCTCTTAAAATTTTTTCTCAAAGACGTTATTAATCAGCAAAATAATTCATCAGTTTTATGCTCATATTTCATGAAAACTGTTGTATTTTGGTTACTTCAGGGTGGTCATTTCTTGACTTGGTCACCCGATAACTTGTTGTCTTGTTTCTGGGAATGTTTTAAATTATTAATACACTGGGTACGTATTGGAGAATGTCCAAACTTTTTTATTCCACAAAACAACATGTTTAGAGTGAAAGTCACTGGTTTTGTACAAACGTCATTGTTCTGTCAGTTGTATGACTTATACTGTAAAGGGATATCATGCCTTCTACTAAGTGAAACCTTAAGACCTTACCTCAGTTTTCCGATCTTATACAGATCAATGTCTAGTGTTTTTACAGACGAGAGCAGCATCATATCTAGCACCGAATTGGATATCAGCTTGTTTAAAGAACTATACATTGACAATGATGTTGGTCGTTTTCGGGAATTCCGAGCTTACACGGAACATCTAAAGACAATACTTGTTCGCAATATGACACCATATCATGTAGTTACATTACAACATCTAACAACATGTGTATTACGGAACATGGATTTCCTGATTCAAAGTAGTATTCATCCAAAAAAATATCGCAACAAGATTCAATACAAAAGTAAAAAAGTATCAAATAGATTGATTAAAGTGTCAAGCACGTTTGGTTATGTGTCAGATATTTTGTATTTTGCTATGTACTGGTACAGAGATTGTAGATATGAACACTCACTAATTATTTTACAGAAAGCACAGGAGAGAATGTCACGACCATATATTATATATGGTTATAACGTCAATATAGATATGTACAGACAGTGCATGACTGGGATACCTCTGGGTAGAAGAATGAGAAGTGCTGTTATGAAGGACATTGTGTTAAATAAGAACACTTACATTAATGAACTAGTGATGGAACAATTCAATAACAAGTATGGCAGGCCTGTATTATTGATCCCACCTCTAGTGATGTTACACATGTTGTTTATACTGAATCACCACAGACTGGGTGACACAGTCAGGTCACAACAATCTCTACAGGATCTACAGACCCTGCTGCTCTATGATGACAGGGTTAATGTACCTACTCTCCTCAGAGATATTTCATGGCAAATCCTGGGAATATGTCAACAAATCTGTGGGGACTATGTAGGGTCACTGCAGTCCTATCAATGTTCATTACAACAAAAACCAACTCATTTTATTCAGGAAGTGACATTGTTCAGAATGAACTCACTTCTTAATTACACCGCTGCATGATGTTTGTATATCAGAACAACGGCTAACAGATCACACTTAGAATTGTACTTGATTGACACTGTAATTGTCAATTTTTCTTTTTGTTGTTTTCACCTATTTTCGTAATTGTTACATTGATAATATATCCATGTCCCTAAATACGTTTACATTGAATGCGAGTGTTGTACACGTTATTTCATGCTTGCAGATTTTCATTACATATAACATTATAAAAATGTTATTGAAAGAACTCTTCATTTTTATTATTTAGTACGTGGCCTTTTAACTTTACTGGAAATGAAGTCTTTTATTTTCAAGATACGTACGTTGGTTGTTTGTAAACTTCATGTCAATCTTAGAAAAGTTTGTTATGATACTCATTCGATATTTAAATTAAGCGCAACATAATAAGTAAAAATATTTATTTTGTTAATGTTTTAAGTTCCATTCCATTTATTTTTATTTTGTGCTTTATTTGTTTATTTTATTTTATAAGCTACACCATGTTTAACTAGTTATTTTATCGAAGATTAATATTTTTTCGGCATTAAAATTATTTTTCTTCTTTTTTTGACAAGATTCAATAAAAAAAGTTACTGATTTATAATAATTGCATCATATAGATAGTTAATTATTTATTACATATTTCCTTATTGCTTATAAATTAATTAAGTGTTGGCATGTAGGAAATAACAGTTAGTGCTGATTTAACAGTCGCAAAATCTGTTTTATCGGTGACTCATTCACAGACTTAACGAAATCAACAAAACAAAACAAAAGAGATGTTATTTCAGGTTCAAGCTTAATGCAATCATTCCATTCTATTCGATTATAATGTCATATTTTGCTGAGTTTTGATGCATGAAATACACCAGATGTTTTATAATTTTACATTGTTCTATTATGAATTAAAATAAAAATCTATCTGTCGTTTAATTGTTTGATTAACTGCCTACAATATCAATGTATTCGCCAATCAAAATGTATTAACAATGCGGTTGCATAAAAACTATATTATGCGCATGTATCCATGCAGCTATCTGAAGCAGAATGTTACAATGGATCATATTTGTACATAACACCAGGTGTTAGTGAACTCTGCGGTTATCATTTACATCAGTCTCCTGCTTATTTTTAGAGATCTGACTCTGATACAAGTTACCCCTGCTTTTCAGTATTTACTGAATAAATATTGTTTAAACCCCTACTTTTGTCTATTGATGATATCTAAAGAAACGGGTCATTTAGACGGTTATTTTATGTTTTGATCAACCGTATATGAAATATCGAAATAGCAAGCCTTTAACACGGGGATCATTTTGATCATTTAGTTACAAAGGTGGGCAATTTGACAATGACAATTTATTTTTAAAGTCGTCAATTTTGGTATACTCATTGCAATTGTTCATGTTATTAATACTGGTATCATCTGAAAATAAAATCGAAGTAAAACTTGATTATTCTGAAGATTTGATACCATATTCATACAGCATTCATTTGAAATTTCAGTGAACATAAATTAAGTAAAATTCTTGCATTGATTAATTAGTGTCAACGACCAAGCATCGCAAACAATACTATCAATTTAATTTCTTATTAGTCTTGTTGCTTCTATATATGAGAAGAATTTCTTGCTGCTAAATACACGTAGAATTGAAAGTAGCCAATAAAGCTGGTTTATATACATTAAGTTCATTTAATCCATTTTTTAAATTCTAAACCTTTATGTAGAAATTAATCGGAAAAAACCCAAGTTCCTTATTTATTGTATAACCTCAATATCTCGATTACCTTGATATGTGAACATTTTGGGTCTCATTTAGTTTAATGGACATCATTATCATTAAATAATGGACATTTCATACTTTTAAATTGGATGTTGACAATGTTTCAATGCACATGATTATTTTTTTTTAAATATAGTTTATAGGAATCCGTACCATTTCTCCCCAGTACCTGTTCTATCTAGGTCATTTCCGCCCAAGTCATTTCTCCCCTAGGCCATTTCTCTCCGCAACCTATAGCAAGGTCAATTTACTTCAACATAAATTTGTATAAAAATAAGTTGAATTTAGAAAAGATTTTATTAATTACTATCATTATTGAATTAACATTAACTTTTATATTTAATTATTATATTTCATTTCATTTCGTTCCTTTATTAAGTTATTCATTCACATATTATTTATTTATTTATGACTTCACATCTTAATTGTTTATTTATTATTTCATTAATTGATTTCTTTAATTTATTCCTTTATTTGTTTTTTAATTAAATACTTTAAACTACCTTTTTGAAAGAACAGATATACATATATGATTTATTTATTTATTCATTTCATTCATCCTTTCTCCTTATGACATATGGTTAATCACTTTAAAGGCTATAATATAACTTTTGTATTTTACGGAAGCGTATTGCTGCCACTTGAAAAAATATTATAAGTCGTACGTACGAGATAATAAGTCGTACGTACGAGATACTAAGTCGTACGAACGAGAAACATTGTGGCACGTACGACATAATAAGTCGAACGTACATCATAATAAGTCGTACGAACGAGATAATATGTCGTACGTACGACATAATAAGTCGTACGTACGAGATACTAAGCCGTACCTGCGACATAATAAGTCGTACGTACGAGATCCTAAGTCGTACGAACGAGATAATATGTCGCACGAACGAGATTCTCAGAACGTAGCTGCAGAACTTCTTAAGAATGACTCTTTGATAATTCGTAAAATTGACGGTATATACGAGTGTTATTTGAAAACTTCGTGGACTTCTGTCATATCTTTTTAATTTCATGCCATGTGTTATCCAAATTTGGAAGAAATTTTTGAAAAGTAAAATCAATCCAAATGATTTGTATTACTTTTTAAAATACCGGTATCACGATTTATTCAAAACTGATCCAGATTTAAATATGCGCAATTCGGACAGCGGAGCAAGTCAAAATTTACAAAAGTTACAAATAACACACTACATAATGGCTTTCTGTTAAAGGGAGCTAAAAACGAAAAACAGAAATTCAATTTTAGAATTGTTACATCGATTCGCATTCCAAAGCAAGACTTTATATTTTGTTTTGATGAAAAGAAATCGACTTGAGAAGATAGGTAGTCCTCATTAAAAACGACAAAAATTAAGCCTTTTAGAACGTCAGGGAGCAGTAGATGCCGATGCAATTTTGTGTTTTACTCTGGAAAAACCCTGACTAAACTCTAAAAATGTTTGAGAAATAAAAAAAAGTCACAAACGAGTTGTGCATGTGTGCACAAAAAGCAGTAGCAGTATTTGAGTGAAATAGTCTCAATCGGACGAGGACATTCTGTGAAGAGACAGTTTTATTTTTAAAATCTGAGTAAAAACTTTTAAAAATTGGAACGTGAAAGAAAGACATGGGCACTTCAGAGTTGCTATTCTGTGAAAAAAGAGTAGGTACTAAAAGAAATTGAAACCTTAACAAACGAAATTATACAGAGAGACAATTTCTTAATAACAAGAGGCCAATTGGGCACATTGCTTACCCGAGAAGCTTAGGCCATGCTCTTCTTAACCAGATTTTCCCTTGTAATACCTATTGTGGTCCGATCCAACCCCTAGCGGTCATGATTTGAACAATTTAGGATTTATACACAACCCCCAGTAACCTGCCATCTAAGTTTAAGTTTTTTCTGGCCCAGTTGTTATTGAGAAGATTTTCCCATATATTTTAGCTCACCTAAACCGAAGGCCCAAGTGTGCTTTCCAGATCAAAATGTGTCCGTTGTCTGTGATCGTTGTCGTAATCGTTGTTGTCGTCGTTAAATTTCCATGTTTTCGACTTTTTCTCAAGAACGACTGGGCCAATTTTAACCAAGCTTGAGTGTTCTTAGGTAAAGGGGATTCAAGTGTGTTCAAATGAAGGGCCACACCCTTATTCAAGGGGAGATTATTTGGATTATCAAGAATCACTGTGCCAGGAAAGATGTTATTTATATGGAACCATCCTCAGGTAGTGTAGATTCAACTTCGTTTAAATCCTGACCCCCGGTGTTAGAATTGGCCCACTATTTTCGATCAAAGTTTTACATAGAAATATAAAGGAAAATTCTTTTTAAATCTTCACAAGAACCACTGTGCCAGGAAGTGTAGATTCCGGTTTTTTTTCAAATCATGACCCCCGGGGGTAGACTAGGGCCATAATGGCCGATAAAAGTTAAACATAGGAATATATAGGAAAATTCTTTAAAAATCCTCTTCTCAAGAACTATTAGGACAGGAGAGATGAAACTCATGTTGAATCACCCTCAGAATAGCAAAGGCATGAATAATCATACTTATATGGAATCATCTTCAGGTAATGTAGATTCAAGTTTGTTCAAATCATGAGCTTTAGGGGAGGGCGGGGCCAAACTGGCAGATCAGAATTTTACAAAGAAATATAAAGGGAAATTTTTAAAAATCTCCTCAAGAATAGCAAAGGCAAGAATGATTTTATTTATATGGAAGCATCCTCTCTTAGTGAAGATTCAGGTTTGTTGAAATCATGACCCCTGGGTAGTGTGGGTCTTAAATGGGCGAAACATATTTTTCTTGTGGTACGAAGTTTAATTCCATTCGATATAACAGAAATCAATTTACTTCATTTTAGAATTAGCAAGTCTTGTACCCACTGAGCATACTGAACGGTGAAGTAAACATGGGGTCAAGATTTTCAAAAAAAAAAAAATACTATCCCTATGCATTTCAAACAGTATATTCCAAAGCCCAGTCATTAATTCTTTTTCTAAAACCCGACTTTTATTAACCCACTCGAACTGAAGGTTCAAGTGAGCTTTTCTCTCCACATTTTGTCTGTCGTCCATCTGTCTGTCTGTCCGTCGGTCCGTCTGTAAACGTTTCACATTTTCAACTTATTCTCAAGAACCAACGTACCAATTATAACCAAACTAGGTACAAAGAATACTTGCGTAAAGGAATATATAAATTGTTAAAATGAAGTGCCAGGTCCCCAAAAAAGGGGAGTTAATCG